CAGGCTCGTCCTGTCCCCTTTCACAGACGAGGAAACAGCCCGAGCAGGTGCTCGATCAGGGTCAGCTGGGGCCAGTGCAGGTCTGGGCTCGGCTGGCTGGTTCAACTCCTGTGAACACTGAGTCCCAGTGGAGAAGAGACCTTGGCCATGATCCCAGCTCTGCCTCTCCTGGCTTCAGCCTGAAACATCTGGGGAGCAAATCAGCAGATGGAAGATCCTCTCTCTCTCTCTTCCTCCTCTCTCTGTATCTCTTTCTTTCAAATAAATCAATTAAAAAATCTTTAAAAAGCAAAAGAAAGGAGCCAGACTGCCTCCACCCCCAAGCCTGGAAGGCAGCTTGGTCCTACCACAAAGTCCTCTGCCCCCAAAGCCTGTTGTTCTCTCCGGGCTCCCCCTCCGTCCACAGCAGAGAACTGAGTCAGCCTTCAGAGAAGGACCCTCAGTGCTCGTGCTCTCGGTCTTACAGTGTGCGTGAGAGCAGGCAGGGGCCTGCAGCCGAGAGCCTAGGATGTGCTGAAGACAACCACACAGCTGCCGGCCAGCGGGCCTCACTCACACACAGCCCCAAGCCAGGACCAGGGTCCTCACATTCTGGGTCTCCTTGCTGAACTCCCAAACATGGGGGCCCTCTAAGGAGGGGTTTCAGGGAGGGTCCCCGTCCTGAGGTCACATGCTTGAAGCGGGACTTCCCAGTGAGCCGTACTTGGCTCAGGCAATGGCCAGCAAAGCCGATATTGCAGAGCTTAGCATATCGGCCAAGGACGTGAGACTTTTCTGAGCTCCAACACGCCTCTGACTACAGCGAAGTCCAGGAAGGCTTCCTGGAGGTGGTCTTAGAACACGGGGACTCATTTGACCTTAGACTCCCTGCTGGAGACCTGAGCAGACAGGTGATTCGGCAATGTGCTTGTGCAAAATCATGCCATTCTTAAGATACACAGCAAAGCAATCTTGGTACCCTAGGCTTGGGTGTTTCTCGGAGTCATGCCTCAATTTCTCTGGAACCTGCTTGAAGTACTAACAAGTTCCTAAGCTTCCCAAGTGTTTCTTCCTCTGAGAAATCTTCCCTGGGCCCTGCCCCGGGGTGGGGCGCAGAGCCAGGGATAGGGTGGCAAGGCACATGCCCCACCGCCAGGCAGAAGAACAAAGGCCAAACCTCAACTCTGGGAACCTGGCTTTGACCCCCAACTCTGCCTTCAGCTCTTTGGCCTTGGGCAAATACCTTCACTGGGCCTTCATTTCCCTTATTTTTAAGGATCTGTTTATTTGGAAGTCAGAGTTACAGAGGGAGAAAGGTAACGGTCTTCCACTCACTAGATCACTCTTCCAAATGGCCACAACGACCAGGGCTGGACCAGGCCAAAGCCGGGAGCCTGGAGCTTCATTGGGGTTCTCCCAAGTGGGTGGCAGAGGTCCAGGTACATGGCCCACCCTCTGCTACTTTCCCAGGGCAAAAGCAAAAGCTGAATTGGAATTGGAGCAGTCAGGATAGGAACTGATGCCTGTATGGAATGCTGGCCTCCCAGGCTGAGGCTTTACATGCTATGCTACAGTGCAGACTGCCCACCACCACCACCCCATTGTCCTTGTTAACAAGGGCTTTGAACCAAGCATCTAGAAGCCTCTCTCCCACTCTGACACTGCAGGATGGGGATATGACTCAAATTACCAGGTTGGATGCACAGTGAAGGCTGCCAGCTCCTCCCCAGGCAAGCAGAGGCCAACGCCTGGGAGGAGCAGAAACTGGTTCCTCCAGCCAGGAAAGCCCAGCCTCAGGCCTGCACTCCCGCCCCAGCCTGGAAGATCCCCAGGACCCTCGGCCATGTGCCCTGATCCTGCCCTGCATGACAATGCGGAGGTGGAAGGAGGTGGGGCCTCTCATATGTACCACCCAGGGTGGGAGAGTCCCTGGCAAGCCAGCAGGCTGGGGATGCAGACGCAGGGGCCTCAGGAAGCCAGAACAAGCCCTTCCCCCTAGAGGCAGCCCGGCCCAGGCGGGCCTCCCTCCAGCTCCCCGGATCTTTGGAAATGCCTGGAGCACACCAGGTCCAACCCGGAGCCTCCCACCCCTGGGCACTCCAGCCAGCCAGACTTCCCCAACACACACCTGCACAAACTTTCGCCCTGCCCACCTCCAAGCGGAGACCTGCAACCCTGACCCTGGCCACCTTGCTGTCCCAATTCTGCCTGCCCCTAAGGTCTACCTCCTAAGGAAACCCAGCCTTTGCTCTCCCAAGCCACTGGTCCCCAAGCCCCCACCCCGACCCCCAGGGCAGCTCTGTGCTGGGAATACTCTCTGCTTTCCCAGACACTGCCCTGCTGCCCTCCCCACCCTCCATCACTTACTTCACACCCAAGACTGAGGACCCTCCTGCCCTCAACCCTATACTGGGCGACACTGTGGAAGGCTTCCATCTGCGTGGCTGAAGTCTTCCCTGGAAATCTGGAACTGCAGTAATCTGTCTGGATCCACCCCCACCCCCACTCCCATCACCCCCAGAGCTATGGTAGGACCTAGGACCTCACCTCTCCCTGTGACATAAAAGTCCTTTTACTGCCTCCTCTCTGCTCCTCTTGAACACAGTTGGCACAGCCAGGGCTGGCTGCTCAGTCAACGCACTGCACAACTTTCAAGGCACCACTCACTAGATCATCCTGTGATGACCTGGAGTCAGGCACCATGGCACCCCTGAGGTCCACACCTCTGTGGAGGTGGCCAGGCTGCAGGGGGTAGCCTTGGCAGGTGAGGAGGGAGGAGGCTCTTCCCTCCCAAGCTGGGTCCCCAGCTTGGACTCCTGGCCTGCTCCCTCCCTAATGGTGCCTGCCATCCTCTCTGTGTATCTCTCCTCCTGGGGCACAGTAACAAGAGAGGTCTTTCTGGGCTAGAGGCACCCCCACCCCAGTCTATCTCACACAGATTCCAATAGTGGGAGAGAGAGATTCCTGCAGGCACGTTCCTGCTTATCGTTTTTCATTCAGTGGGTTTAGGAACCTCAAGCAGAGAAAGGACATGGTCACAATACAGCAGCCTAGTAGGGCTGCGGATGGTGAAGACTGACCCACACCTGCTGGGCAGCCCCAAAAGGCTCCCCAGTGGTGGGGCGGGGGTTGGGGTGGTCCACAGAGGAGGAGAGAAGGGGGTGCCCTGGAGGATTGTAGCAGAAAAAACATCTGTTAGCATGACAGGGGACAAGGATGGGGCTCAGAGCAGGACAGCATCTTCACCTATCACAGGGAGCCCCAGCAACCAGAGACCAAGGGGGCCCCCACGCAGAGGGGAACATGGCCATGGGGACAGTGATGGAGGAAGCCTTTAAGATGCAACAGGCTTGATGCTGAGCCCAGACTCTGCTCAGCCTCTCTGGGCCACTGGAAGGATCTGTGTCCAGATGTTTGACAGGGCTGGGTGAAGTGTGCGGTGGTGGTGAGAGCATTCGCTACCTCCCAGGAGCACATCCCCCCCCCCCCCCCCCCCCGCACAGTGCAAGCCCGGTTGTCACCTGCCGTTGTGCGGACAGCGCCCTGGGGGGGGGGGGGGGGGGGACCTGGACCCACAGCAAACAGGTGCAGACAATGCACACAGTAGGGCAGCAGGCAGGGTCAAATACCCTACCACGTGCCCCACCCTTGGCAAGAAACAGGAGTAAGGCCCCAGGCCCTGCGGAGGGAGGAAGGAAAGGAGTGAGGGAGAGAGGTAGCAGGCTTTCAGAAGCCTTTTCCAGCCCGCTGGGTGTCATCTCACAGTGCCTCCCCAGGAGGGACCAGGGAGGGAAGTGAGAAAGGGGGTATTCAAATGTGCTCTGCACTCACTGTGTCTCACACATCCAGCCCCACCCTGACAGCAGCTAAACTGCACACCTCGTGCGTGCCCAGGGAGCCGGGGACCTGGCCCAGGGCTGGGTGGGGGAGGTCCCAGGCAGCTCTGAGGGTGAAGAAAGTGGTGGGGGGGAGAGGAGGGGGATTTACACACGCGGCAATATCATCCACACCCAGGGCGTGTACGGGTGAGTTCACACTCATTCCATCACTCTCACTGCCTGCAGGTGGGGAGCTGGGGTCCTGGGGAACCGCCTGGCACCTGCGAACGTCACAGGTCCCCCAGCTCCTGGTAGATTCTCACGTTGGCCTCCCAAGCCGGCAACGCTGAGGCCAGCTTGCTGCCACCTACGGCATGGCCGGCCCTGTGGGCAGAGGCTGTCGTCAACCCCCGTTCCCCAGGGTACCCTGGTTCCCCCAAGCAGACAGAGTGCAAGCAGGAGCTGGGGCCAGTCCCCACCTGATCTCCCAGGATCCCCTCACCCGGCACCGGGCCTGGCCAGGCAGACGCTAGTGAATGAACGCCCGGTTGGATGAATGAAGGAATGATAAACGCCCACTGCCTGCAGCCGGGGACCGCACTGCCCGCCGGAGCCCCGCGGAGGGCAGAGTCTAAGGGACCCCAGCAGTAGCCCCACCTGCCAACCTCGGGGCACTTGAGTGCCGCTCTCCGGGTCGGTGGGGGAGGGAGCGGGACGGCTCCCCCCCGCCGGCAGGGTGCTGAGCACCCTCCTGCTGGGGAGAAAATCTGGGTCTCCTGACCGAGCTGGGGGCGGGGCGGGGGGGGATCACGACGCCCCGGAAAGACGGTAGGCAAGACTAGGGGGCGCGTCCTGGCTCGCGCTGAGGGGCGTGGGACGGAGCGGCGGCAGCGGGACATCCGCTCTGGTGCCCGCTCCTGGGTCTACCCAGGGCCGCGGGACTCGACAGGGGCGCCGCAGACCTGGCCCTCTCCAGCGGGGCCACAGCGAGGGGGACGCGGTGTCCCACGAGGTGACCGGGGGCGCAGGAAGGACGAGGACCTGGCCCTCTCCATGCTCCGGGGGGTCCGGCCGCGCCACCTCCCGCGCCGGCCACCCCGGAACCTCCGCCCACCTGCGCGAGGGGCGCGAGTCCCACCCCGGCCCCGTTGCCACCAACCCGCCTCCCACTCCCCCAGCCCGGGCCACCGGCCCTGCCCTCACCTGCACGGCCCGCCTTGGCCATGTCCCGGGCGGCGGGCTCCGGGCTGCGCTGCCCGTGCTCCTCGCAGCTCCCGGGCCCTGCCCCGGCCGCCGCGGCGCCTCCGGCCCCGAACGGACTCCGAGCGCCGCGCCCCGCGCCCCCGCCCCGTTCGCCTCGGCTGCCGCCACCGCAGCCGCCGCCGCCGCCTCGCCGCTCCCTTAAAGGCGCCGAGCGAGCGGCGGCCGCGCCGGTCCTCCCCCCCAACACACACACCTCCCACCCCGCGCAGCCGGGGAGGGACTGACGGAGGCCGGCGCCCAACGCCGCCCCCGCGGGTCCGCACCCCAAGCCCCGGGACGCGGCCACCGCGGCGCGCGAGAAGGCGACAGCCGCGGGGTCACGGCTAACCCGGACCAGGACGCAGAGCGGAGACCGCGCGGGAGACACGGACGCGCCCGGAGCCCGGGCAAGACACTGCGCGGTCCGAGCGGGGCACAGGGACGGTAGACCCGGGCGCAGAGACACTGACACCTGGGCGCTGGAGACTCCGCGAGGCTGCGGAGGTGGGCGCCGAGACAGCAGTTGCAAGCACACCAGAGAACCCAGCAGCCCTGAGCTGGGAGGTCGGTGACCACGCGAGGAACGGAGACAGGAACACAGCAGCGAGGCCGCCCCAAAACCAAGAAGGAAGTCACTCCAGGATCCGACCCCTCCGCCTGCTTCCATCCCTGAGTCAGGGACTGACCTAGTCTCAAGACATATGGGCTTCTGTGCCTTTAACTGCCAGGGGGCAGGTAAACTGCAGGGGCTCTGGGCTGGGCCAGGAGGCTGTACCCCCTTTGCACTGCCCAAGCCTCAGATACACACACACACTCACACACACATTCTTGATGAGCAGGCCTCCTGTGGCTGGGAAGCTGCGGCGTCCAGCTGCACTAGGAGGTAGAAGCTGGCCAGTTATTGACTGTGGTGCCTGCAAGGGAAGGGTCCCAGGTGGGGGCCAGAGAGCAGGCATGCATTTCTCCAGCTCAGGGGGCAACCCACGTCCCACCAGCTTTTGGCACCTGCTATCATCTCCCCAACCCAAGCCGGCTACCTGGCTTCCTGCTACCACCTAGGAGTTGGGGGGCGGGTAGGAGTAGTAGTTCTTTTGGACGACTTCCTAACCTGCCCTGAAGCTCCGCCTCCCTCCCCAAGGAACCCATCCACCTGCCAAGGAGAAATCCATGCCATCATTTCATCTCAGGCCAGCCATATTCCTGACTCCAGGAGCCCCCCAAGCTGCTCGCCTCTGGAAACCGGGCTGATGCAGACTGCAAGAGCTGCCCTGAGGTTTTTAGCCCAGCACTTCCTGGAGGGCTCTGACTCCATTCACAGCATGCCTGCTGAGTAGGAACCCGGCAGCTCCCTGTTGATCGCGTCCAAGCACAGAGGGCTCAGCACCTCCCAGGAGAGCTCTTCCATCCTGGGCAGTCTTCCTGGTAGGAAATCTGCATTCTCAAAGACCCTCCTAGGAGTCCTGCTCTCCCCTGCAAAAACTGAGGCTTTCCAGAACCCTCTGTCCTGACCACCCCATGCATCTTGCAAGGGCCCCCCTCTGCCCCAGGCACTACAGAGCCGATGGGGTTCGGAAGCTGTGTGCTCCCAAGTCCTGCACCGTCACCTGCAGCCCCTCCACTGGCCTGGGGTGAGGAGTGGGGGATGGGAACAGCACGAGCCAGCGGGTGTGCTCAGGGCTTCACACAGACCCTGTGCTCTCTGAGGTATTTTGTGCTGTCCCCAGTTCTCACTGAGAGAAACGAGCTGAGACAGTTTGTGCTCATGGACGCGTGGGAGTCCACCTCAGGGCTGGGCTGTGTGTCCCATGCCTTGCAGTCCCCGCCCAGGGCTGTCCTTGACTGAGCAGTTGACTGATGGTCCTGCTGGCTCCTGCGGTGGGCATGTGTGTGAGCACGGGAGATGCAATAGACCTTCCACACGGAGGGGTTAAGATGCTGCTTGGGGCCTCCTTGAGTCCGGGAGGAGAATGCCTGGCTTCCAGTCCTGGCTCCATCTCCAAGTCCAGCTTCGCTAATTCATGCAGCAGGGGAGGGCTCAAGGAAGTGTGTACCTGCCACACACACACACACACACACACACACACACACACACACACACAGGAGACCTGGATTCAGTTGTCTGCCGGCCAGCACCTACCATTGCAGATATCTAGGGGAGTGAAGCAAAGCTCTCTCTCTTTGTCTCTCAAATAAAGAAATGTTTATTTTACAAGAAGGAAACCTGCTGCAGAGCGCCCGGTCCCTGAGCTCCCCTGGGTCTTGGTCCTCAGTGGCAACAGTAACCATCAAGCACTGTGTGTGCGTGCCTGTTTGAGTCCCATGCATAGACAGTGTGTGTGCATGTGTGTGTCCACTCACACACACAGACCCAGGTTAACACACCTGCTCACAGAGCATGCTCCCTCGATGGACATTGACCCTGCCATCCCTCGGCTCCTGGGAACAGGGTGGGCATGGTTGACAGGCGGAGAGTTTCAGAAATCGCCTCCTTTGACCACCCTCCCCTCTTCTCAAAGGGGAAGACAACCGGCCACATTTGCCTCGAAAGAAACCAATGGATTTGGACTTCCAAATCCACCCATGGCTCCTGTTCTTGTCAGCCTTCGCGAGGCGCCCAGCTCCTGCCCACAGGCTGGATCAGTGAGGGGCCAGCCCTGGGTTGCTGCTGCTGGTCTCCACCACTACTGTGTGCTTTGTCTGTTACCAGCTGCTGGGCGAGTTCCGGCCCTGCCTTCAGACAGAGCAAACACACTGGGACTCAAGGCCATTAGATTAACTGGTGGGAGTTAACTTCCTGCATCCCAAGAATTGTCCTGAATTGAAGAAAGTAAGAACCAGCAATTTAGAACCACTGACCGCAGCCGCCTGCGGGAGGCAAGGGCCCGGCCCAGCCACTGTGTCTTTTTGGCTGCCCAGTTCTTGGCAATGGGAGGCAAAGCTGGGTTTCCTCTCTAAGACCTGGGCATCCACGTCCTCTCCTCTGACCACAGTTCCTTCTGCTTCTGCCCCTATGGTGCCTAGCTGCTCCCAGGCTCAGGAAAACCCTCACACAGAGGAGAGGGGAATCCAAGGGAGGCCAGCCCTGCTAATTAACGCAAGAAGGCCTTGAACACACAGGCAGGAGGGAGTGGGACCCGGGGGGGGGGGGGGGGGGGGAGGGGATGATTTCTCCAAGGGGGCCTGAATGTTAGTCCTGGGCAGGTGGTGTCCAAGCACTTGGAAAAGTAAACAATCATCTGTAGGAGCCAACATGGCCCCTGGCGGGGAAGCCAGCCATGCCAGGCTACGTTCATTTCCTTTTAATACGGTTACAACATCTGGTAGAATTGGGCATTGCCATGCCTGCTGGCTGGGCTTGGGCCCAGCTGCCGCACGGCTCTCTGACAGTAACTTGGTGAATAATAGAGAAACACAGGGGCAAGATGGCAGCCTTGCCAAATAGAGACACATCCCTGTCTACCCCAGGAGGGACTCCAATGGGACGGCGAGTGCCCGCAGCAAGACTCAGCCATGTCAGGCGTTTCAGCAGAGGGGACCACAACAGCTCATGCAGACTAGACAAGACTCCACCATGGCCCAGACAAGCAGGGACCACAGGCCTGGGGCCAGGAGGACAAGATGAACATGAACAAACTAGCATGTGCATCCGTCAGGGCCCTTTCCGGAAAGTCTGTCTCCAGCTTGCTGTCAGCTGTCGCCTGGCTGGTTCACTGCCTCCCTTGCACCCTCCAACTCTGGTTCTCACCCTCAAGCCCCAGGCAGAGCCACTCTCCTCTGGAACCTTTCAGAATAGCTCTGGGAGTAGCTGGTTTCTGGTTTGTTCTGGCTTGTTGCTCTTGACTCAGTCTACACCCAGGATGCTGTGCTTCCTCCTGCTCCGGTCCTTTCTGGTGACTGTGGCTCACCTCCTCTGTGCTTTTAGGACCCTGGGAGTCTCCATCCCCTCTGATGGGGTCCCATCCTCCGGGGGTCATGTGGACTCCTGCCCACCAGCCTCCCTCCCTCAAGCAATATGCTTTATAAAGGGGATATGGGGAGGGGCTCATGCTTGTAGTCTGCTATGCAGTCAGGAAGATTCCATGAGCTCCAGGCCCTGCAGGCAAAACAAAACACAACCTCTCCCAGGGAGGTTGGGGTTGGGGTGGGAACCAAGCCAAAAGCCCTGCCCTCCCATTAGAGTGCATTTTCTTTCATGACCACAGAGGGGCTGTGCACCCACAACTATGCACATACATGGCCTGCCTGTGTGTGCCAAGCAAAAGTGGTCTGCAAACTGCTAAACCCATTGCATTAGGTTTCCCACTTGGGATGCTGACCTAAATGGAGGCTCAAGTGTGGGTTTCCGTTTTTCTCGATTACGGTTGATGTGGTGCTATCTAACTGAGCGGGCTGTGCTGGCAGATGGGATCAGGAATGAGAGAAAGCGCGCCTGAGAGGCCGAGTGTTCAAGGAAAGACAGGGGGCCGGGGGGCTAGTGGTAAAGGGGGCTTGCAGCAGCTCCCAGGAGAAGTGCTGAGGGGCAGAAACTTGGTCCTGCTGTCTAAGAGGGCAGTGGACCCCTCATCCTGGGTCCTGGTTCCTGCAGTCTCTGCAGCTGCATGGTCTCTGCAAGCAGGGTCTGTGCTTTCTGCTGGATGCCCACTGCCATGGCATCCCGCCCCTGTGAGCCCAGCAGTCTTTGCACACTGCACTTACACTAAATACAGGTTGGTCCTGGGGAAAGCTGAATTCCCCTGATGGCCCGCTGGCAGTTCCAGCCGCACCCTCCTTACCCATGCAGGCTCATCCAGACGCTCTGACCTCAGCATGTCCCTCCCCGACCCTGACCTGCATGCACGTTATTTATTTATGGGAGATTACAGAAGCCTGATGACCAAACACACTTGTGGATAAAGCGCCGAAGAAGCCATAGATCAACCGGGGAAAGAACTGCCTGATTGCCAGTGTGGCCCTTCCAGACAAGGGCAGAAGCTCACAGTCCGATGAGGTACATGGATGATGTCATAGGGCCTTCAGCTGCATCCGTGACGCATCTGCACCTGCTCTGACCCTCACACAGCTCGCCACGGGTTCCCTCCAGCTCTGCTTCATGCAGGGTCCTTCCTCCGGAACCCAGGCTGGGTCCCAGCTCAGGCCAGGCTGGTCAGGAGAGAC